CTGTAAAATGTTAACAGAAAAACAGCTTCAAATCAAGAGCCACACATAATATTTTAGCATGGCAATCATGATGACATTATCTTTTTTATTTTTATTTTTATTTTTTGGTACCAGGGATCGAACTCACAAGGCACTTACAAGGCAGGCACAGCACTACTGAGCTAAATCCCTGGCCCAATGACATTATCTTTGTAACACACTTAAATGTCCATCTTAGTATAAAATAGCCATTGTTAAATGCACTCATCCCTCCACAAAAACACAAAAACTCATACTCAAATTTTTCTTTTGATAGGGATGTCATCCTATAAATGTACCTGTCGTCATAAGTAGCTGGCATGTAAGAGAAAGGCAAATACCTGAATCAAAAGAAGGTTATTATCATAAACAATATATTAGAAAACCTGTGCAGTCAGAAAGCATGAATACATTTAATACACCAGAAAATTAACAATAATAATTACCACAGTTATATGTATGAAACCTTATGCCCTTAAATTAGTTTGGTACCAAAAGCATATTTTCAATAAAACCTTGTTGTTTTTTGGTTCGGTACCGGAAATTGAACTCAGGATCTTGCACTTGCAAGGCAAGTGGCAACACCACTGAGCTAAATCCCCAGCCCTAAAACCTTGTGTGTTTGGTTTTTTTCCCACAGAAAATTTAATCTTTTCAAAATGACCAATGTAAACATGTCAAAAAAATGTGAGAATTAACCTTTTGATGATAACCAATGTAAACATATTATAATAACATATTTAAATAACATTCATTGATGTAAGACTCTTATAAGGCAGTGAAAACTATCAGGGTGGGTTTGTTGTAAGGCTATGGAAACTGCTGAGGTCCCCCTAACAATCAAAAACTGGAAAATATTTCCATGAGGAAATTTGTTCACCAAGGGGAGTCCCATTTAGCAGCCTCCTCAAATCTAAGGGTCTGCATTTAATTACCTGGACAAAGATTTTTTTAGTAACCTATGAAAACAAGATTGTAATATTTAGTACATTATTTGTAGCCAATTAAAGTTTTGCAGTGATTATATGTAGACAATAATATGTATTATATCATTTTGATCTGTTTAGCAACCGGGGTGGGGGGAAGAAATGCATGCCTTTAACTTTAATAACCTTTATCTATAAGCTAATTTAAATTATAGCCAAATATCTTTTTACAAATTTTAAGAAAAAAGGGAAAAAATTATTGTGCTCAAACAAAAGACATGTAGATTAGACAAATGGACAAACATATAATAAAATTAGAGTGCACACAAATATATTAGCCTAACTGAATAATAATATCCTTTTGTAATTTTTAAGTTAATAATTGTAAATAAGACTAGTCAAAACTTTTTGTAAGTGAATTAACAGAGATCTCTTATAGAATTAGAATTAGAAGGAATGAAAAGCTCTTTATGTATATAAATGTAAACTTTTTATAACAAACATACATATTTCCTTGATCAGTTACTTCCACACACCTTCTCAACATACCTGTGCCTTCCAGTCTTTTATGTCTCTCTTTATCCTTATAACAAGACACACATACAAATCCTTTCATATCAAAATATATCTCTTTTACTTGTAGCCTTCTTAATGTTTTCCTCAATCTCACTTACATCAACTTTCTATAACAAACTTGTCTTCAGCTCTTAAAATTTTAAAGTGTCCCTTTTTTTCTGTTCTCAGATTGTCACATTTAAAAATTTGACTGGTTGCCAATAGAACAGTAGTAACCTTGAGTTCTTTATCAACAAAGTACTGCAAAGCACAAGTTAACTGTATAATTATAATTCAAGAATTTGCAACGCAGGGCTGGGGATTTAGCTCAGTGGTTCTGCTGCCTATCTTGAAAGTGAAAGGTCCTGAGTTTGATCCCCAGTACCAAAAAAAAAAAATTGTAATGCACAAAAAATATTTTAAGCACACTAGTTAAACATCAACTCAAATTAAAACGAAGATGCATTTATCAATTAGCTAAAATTTATAACTTGATTTCTATTGTAAAATCTCTTAATGTCTAGTAGAGTTGCAGTTTCTCTGGCTTTGTTTTGGATTCCAGAACTTGGCAGGTAGCATCAGGCTGATAACACAGCACTGGCTTTGGGGCTCTTAAAGCCAGGAGTGTTTTTTTCCTTAGTATTTTGCTTTATGATCTTCAGACCTTTCCTAGCTGTTTTCAGTCTATTACTTATTTTCTCTTTTCATTTCTCTCCAAGCTGAGTGTAAGTTGTGCTTGACCCTCTCTGAGTCTCAACACGTTGCCCTGTTTGAATTCACCACTGCACTAAAGCCAAGCAGTTCTTCTCATACATTTTTTTTTTTTTTGAGACAGGGTCTCACTATGTAGTTCAGACTGCCCAGAAACTCATTATGTAGCCCAGGCTAGTCTGGAACTCGAAATGCACCTCCTGCCTCAGCCTCTCAAGTGCTGGGATTACAGGCATGTACCACCATGCCTGGCTCTCATACTTTTGTCCCCACCTCCTCTGTGCCTGGGAGGCAGCTCAACTTCCTCCAGAGAGGAAGGACTGGGGTTTGCCTGTAACGATGTCACATTTTCTGAGAGAAGCAAGGCCGGTGTGAAAGACAGCATATTTGTCAAACAGTTATTCTAAAACTGAAACTAAACAGTTCTCACCCGCGGCTGACTGATGTGGAGCTTGAGCAGTTCCCAGGCTCAGTTCTTTGGGCCAAAAAACAGCTCACAAGGCTCCAAGTTGTCAAGGTCTCAGTTAAAGTCTCAAAGAGATAATTTTTCTTCTTTGTCAAGCTGTCTGGATGTTATTTTTGACATGCTCTCTGAAATCCATATCTAAAATTTTTGTTTGTGAAATCTGTTGATTATATTTAACTATTTCTTGCAGCATTTATTTCAACACTGTGGGCCAGCACCAGGAGGCTTAGGCCAAAAGTGATTACCCTGTATTGTCGTCTGGCTGACTACCTTTACAACCTTCTTGCATCTTAAGTACCTACCTCTTTTTCTTGGTTTGCCTTCCTGTTTGGACATCCTTGACCTTGATGTGAGATGCTCTGCACCATCTATATTTCCTTTTTTTTTTTTTTTTTTTTTTCTGAGTGGTCTTACTGAGCTGGCAATTGCATGGTTTTATTGTTTAATAATAATTTTTCATTTACCTTTTTTTTTTTTTTTCTGAGTGGTCTTACTGAGCTGGCAATTGCATGGTTTTATTGTTTAATAATAATTTTTCATTTACCTTTTTTTTTTTTTTTCTGAGTGGTCTTACTGAGCTGGCAATTGCATGGTTTTATTGTTTAATAATAATTTTTCATTTACCTTTTTTTTTTTTTTTCTGAGTGGTCTTACTGAGCTGGCAATTGCATGGTTTTATTGTTTAATAATAATTTTTCATTTACCTTTTTTTTTTTTTTTTTTTCTGAGTGGTCTTACTGAGCTGGCAATTGCATGGTTTAATTGTTTAATAATAATGTTTCATTTACCTATTGATTTTTCTTTTGTTTATATGAAAAGTTCTTAAAATAATTGAATGTAAACTAATAAAATAATTTTGTAGTTTAAAGAAAATTTCAGACAGTTTTTATCATTCTTGAGTTTTTTTGTTTAAGTTATAACACAATGAAACACCTTTCAAGATGGTACCTTTCAGGTATTTGTTCCAGAACTTCAGATCTCATTAACATTTTTCAATGACAGCACACTAGAAGTTCAAAAACATTTACAAACTAATTTTCAAAATTTTTTTTTAGTGTAACTGCTTTTCTTCATAAGTAAAAGTTTTCTTGACTTTACTTTTCAGCATGTCTGAAAAGGGACATATGTTTAAAGAGGACATTGCAGGCTATTGTTGTGCATCACCTTCTCAGATTCTCTTAGATGCAGTGGCCTTCCTCAGAAGCCTCCTCAAAGCTCTTGTTACTTCCTTGTTCCTCAGGGTGTAGATGAATGGATTGGCCATAGGAGTAATAACACAGTAAAACAGTGTCAAGACTTTGGTAAGGTCTTGAGGGTCATCTCCTGAGGGCTGCATGTAGATGTAGATGCCAGGCCCATAAAATAAGGACACCACCAGTAAGTGTGAGGAGCAAGTGTTGACAGCCTTAAGTCTCCTGGCAGCAGAAGGGATTCGAAATACAGCTCGGGCAATGTAACCATAAGAGACAAGGATCATGGAGAGGGGACCTAAAATCAAGAAGGTGGCCACCACTCCTAAGATAATCTCATTGACTGTGGTATCTCCACAAGCCATCCTAATAAGACCAGGCAGCTCACAGAAGAAATGATCCAGGGCTTGGTTCCCACATAGAGGCATCTGGAAAGTAAGTGTGGACTGCAGCAGTGAGTTGGCCAAGCCAAGAAGCCAGGCACTGCCAGATAACTGCAGGCAGAGCTTGCGGTCCATGATTACAGAGTACCGCAGAGGCTGGCACAGGGCCACATAGCGATCCAAGGCCATGATACCCAGCAGGATGCACTCAGAACAGCCCAGCCAGTGGAACACATAGGCCTGCACCATGCAGCCTGTGTAAGTGATGCTCTTGTTGTCACCCGCTAAATTGAATAGCATTTGAGGTACAGTTGTGGTGGTGAAGCAGAGATCCAGAAAGGAAAGGTTGGTGAGGAAGAAATACATGGGACTTTGGAGTTGGGAATCCAGTTGAGAGACCAGAATAATAGCAGTATTTCCTGACAGTGTGAACAGGTAGGAGGTCAGGAAGACAAAGAAGTGAGGAAGATCCAGCCATGGATATTTGGTTAAGTCCATGAGAATGAAATACTCTGAAAAACTTTCATTTGTGTGATTCATAGAACTGTGAAATGATGGACTGAACCTGCTAAAATTAAGGAAGAAAGGGGTGATTTAGAAAAAAAATCTTGATTTTGCATAATATTTGAAAACACTAGGAAAAATATGCTTGTATGGGGATGACATGAACACCCTCAATAAAAATCACGATGGTATCAAATAGAATATTTATTATAACTAACATAGAGTAACTTCTGCTACTCCTACCCAGGACTTGAAGCTAGTGAAATGATACAAACAAATGAAGGTAAAGGGATCATCCAAACCTCAGCACAGCTGATGTGGTCATTGTTCCATGGTGACACACCAAGAGATGTGCTCCTTCCTGGGGTAAGATATAAGTGGAGGCCTGCCTTCCCTCCCCTCCCCTCCCTTCCCCCCTTCCCCTTTCCCTTCCCCTTCCCCTTCCTGCCTGCCTTCCTTCCTCTCTCTCTCTTTCTTTCCTTTTTTGCTAAATTATGTTATCCACTCTACTGATTTTGTGAATGACTTTTTCTAACTGTTTTTTGAGACAGGATCTTGCTTTGTAGTGCAGGGTGGCCTTGAACTCACTGTGTAGCCCGTGGTTTTCTGATATTTTCCATCTGCTCAAGTTGGCAGAATTGCTTTCCTTTTGTGCAACCAAGAATACTGACACAGAAAATGGACCTAGAAGGGAGTTGAAATATTCTTTAGTTTTCTTTAAATTAGGGCATTGATAAAGAAAGACTGAGTCTACAAGAACTGGAAATAGGGAAAATGGGGCACCCAAGTGTTCCTGGTACCCCACCACCCAATTCCCATTGTAGTCAATATGGTCTTTCTCTTTTATCTGTCTTGTTTGAAGTGGTATACCTCTCAAGAGAATAAAAGGAAAAGCTTCAGACTGGGAGAAGAAAATTTCAGAAGACATATCACATAAAAGACTTAAAAATATTTAAAGAACTCCAAAAACTCAACCTTAAGAACAGACAACTGGGCTGGGGATTTAGCTCAGTGGTTCTGGCACCTGCTTCACAAGCGCAAGAATCGAAGTTCAATTCTGGTGGCCAAAAAAAAAAAAAAACAGACAACCTACATGAAAACTAGGCCAAAGGCCTTAACAGAGACTTTACCAAAGAAGATATACAGATGGAAAATAAGCAAGCTTATAAAACATGGCCCACCAATGAAGAGAAAGCTTAGTGCTTCTTTGTATGAGAGAATCTTTTTTGTCTATGACTTGTTCTCTGAGTAATATATTAGCCATTCTTTTAAGATTATGATAAGCAATGTATTAACTGTTGTTATTCTCTAATTATTTTGTTATAAAACTTTGTTTTATTTTTTCATAGGAGGGTGCTTTATTATATTTTCTTTAATAATATCTACTTATATTACATTAAAATAAAAAAGAAAATATGTGCCATATCATATCATTGGGGAAATGCAAGTTAAAACAACAGTTAGATAACATTGCATGACCATTGGACAAATTGTAGAATATTGACAACGATAGATGCTGGTACTGACGTGAAGAAATGGGAACTCTCCTCCATTGCTGATGGGAATGCACAATGGTATAGTCACTTCAAGGACAGTTTGGCAATTTCTTATAAAACTTACAGAAGCATGTAGGCAATTATCTGTAGTTTTACCCAATGATTCAGGAATTGAATCCCTTGGTATTACCCGTAAGAAAATTTAGGTCTGCACAAACACTTGCACACAGATGTTTATAGCTGCTTTATCCATAGTTTCCCAATCATGAAAGCAACTGAGATGTCCTACAGTAGGTAAGAGGGAAAGCAGACAACAGCACATACAGACAATAGAGATAGCGACAGAAATCAGAATCTCTACAATATTGTTATTATTAGTGCTATCTGGAGGTTGTGATTTTAGTGATATAATTGAATCATCTTGCTTTCTGCCACCTCTGAGAGGGCTTAGGTATCAGTCACTGGCACACTTGGACAGTCCCCCCACACACCCAGGGGTGGGGAGGAGAATGAGCGTGTGCCTGTAGTTCAGGGTTTGGTGGAGTGGAGTAGAATGAATCCTGATGACACTAGAGATTCAACAGAGAGAGGGAAGTAGCTGAGTTGAGCTCAATCAGCTCCATCTGTCAAATGTGTGGTGTTCCTCAGATCTCTGTCACTGTAACAAAATGCCTGACATAGCCACCCGCACAGAGGCAGGGTTACTTTGGCTCACAGTTTTGCAGTCTCTTAGCCATGTTGCTTTGGGCCCAGGGTGAGGTAGCATTGTCACGGCCGGGAGCACATCATAGAGCAGAAGCTCTCACCTGATGGCCAGGAAACAGTGGGGAGGGGCCAAGGTCCCCAGTCCCCTTTGAGAACATGCCCTCAGTGACACAAAGGCCTCTGCCAGCCTAGAGAGCGCATCACTGTGATACCTTTAGGGGACATTAGAGACCCCTATACCCTATACCCAAAGTATAGCATTTACCAGTATGACAAACTCTTCTTCCTTTCTCAAAATTATGAACGAGTTAAAATAAACTAGAAATTTCTTTCCTACACATTTCCTGTCTAGGTGAATGCAATAAAAATGCTGCTGTATGAAAAATGGAGGTTAGACAATAAGTGTCTCCTCTTCCCTCACCAAAGCCCAACCCTGAAAATGATCCAGATATGTTAAATGTATATAACAGACTCCCCAAATGAACTTCACCATTCTTTATTACTCACATACACGCGCGCGCATGCGCACACACACACACACACACACACACACACGCACACACACAGTTCAAATCTGAACAAGAAAGAATAAATATTGAAGAGTCAAATTCTAATACTAAGTGAATGCTTAGAAAAAGAATTTGCCAGGTGTGCTGGGACACTCCTATAATCACAGTGCTTGGGAGGCTGAGGCAGGAGGATCACCATGAGTTTGAGGCTAGCGTAGGCTACATAGTTCAAAGCCAGTCTGAACTTCATAGTAAGACCTTGTCTCAAAAAAAAAAAAAAAATCCCTAAAGGACATATGTGACTAGACAGCCAGCACATTAAAAGGAAAGAGACTAATATCTAGTTGTATTATTCATGAATTTCAGATTAATCAGTATTAGAAGATTCCAAAGCTTTGCAGAAGGGGAAATAAATATATAAAATAGAAACTCTCTCATTCTTAGTTTTGAGAAAGGGAGAGGAGTGTTACTAACACTCTTAACAGTATCAGTGAGAGGGAGAAGGTAAGGGGTAATGATTAAAAGCTCTGAAGGAAAATTATTTCCAACCTAGCATTATATACTGCACAGCATTTTAAGGCCTGTAGAACCTCCAAGTTTTGTTTCCCAGGCACCTTTTTTTCCTTGTATTTTGAGGCAGGGTTCAGGCTGTACTTCAGGTTGATGCTGGACTCCCTATGGCTGGTCCAGGCTGGCCTCAAACTTGTAGCTATCCTTCTGCCTCAGCCTCCCAAGTGCTGGGATTACAGGTGTGTGCCACCACACCTGGCTCAAGCACCATTTTTTTTTTTACAAAGCAATTAGAGGATGAGGGCTAGGGTGCCACTAAAATGAAGGATAAGCAGAAAAGAGAAAGACATCAGGAGACAGAAAACCCACACAGGAGGAGGAAGAAGGCTTCCGTGGTAGTGCTGAAGGGAGTCTTGGGAGACTGCAGAAAACAACTAAAAAGCACACCATCACAACAAAAACAAGCTGGAAGCATCAGCCACCCCTAGCATGACAGAACAGCGAAGAGCTCTCTGGGTAAGCTTGGTTCACATGACCATGCTGTACTCACGAAAATGCAGAGCCTCGGTGCTGAGCTGGGTGCACCAACATTTTGAGGGTGAGTTGTCATTCTCTTTACTACATAAGGGCTGAAGTTTCTTATTCTTCATGGTACATAATAGATTTTTTTCAAACTGGGGCTCGAACTCAGGACCTTGCACTTGTGAGGCAGATAGCAGAACCACTAAGCTAAATCCCTGGCCCAATAAATCATATTTTAAACTGAAAAAATCCAAACAGAGGAAAGCTGGTTATTAGGAAACATAGATTAATAGAAGAAAACATTGAAATTATTGAGAATGTGTTTCCTTAGGTGAACAGGGATTGAGAGGGATGGGAAGAGGACTGCTAGAAAACATTGATTATTGAGAATGTGTTTCCTTAGGTGAACAGGGATTGAGAGGGATGGGAAGAGGACTGCTCTTTTTCATGGCAAACTCTTAGTATTTTTTAAAGCCTGGAACATATATCTTTAATTTAAAAATGTTTTTAGACAAGCCTCACTATGTAGTTCAAGCTGGCCTCAAATTTGTAGTGGTCCTTTGCCTCAGCTTCCTGAGTGCTGGGACTAAAGGCGTGCACCAACAGGCCTGGCTCTTTAATAAAAATTAAAATGCAAAGGCACCAATAATGATAAATAATGTCAAGGGACATTAGAAGTATATACATTGTGTGAAAGGATGAAAAACACCTGTCATCAGTTATTGCCGCAGATGGGAGATGACTGAGTCAAGCACACTAATTTCTCTATGACAAGTTTATCAATTTGATAAATCTAAATTTAGTCAGAGCATTATAAAAAATGGTGTAGTGGAAAACCAGATTGTGAAAATAATTGAATCCTTAAAAAACGAAGCCTTGAATCCAGGACACGGAAAGTCCTGAGCACTAGGCTGCATGGTTTGATGAGATGGAGATTTTCAGGAGGGGCGTATAGTGGCTGGAGGAGACTTCACAGCACTTCCTGTGGAAGCAGAAGGACGCAGCATGGCAGAAGAGGCTGGAAATCAGGAGGCCCTCAGGAAGGCTCCTGCAGATAGGAAGATCCACTGAGATAATGGTGCTTGGAGAGGAGAACAAGGCATGGGTGTAATACAGAGGAAGGAGTTAAAAGAGACTGAACTATCAATCTAACATGCTAGGAGAATGGAAATGCAGTTAACAGAAAGGGGCATCCATGTGAAGAGTAAAACAATTTAGCAAAAATCCTCTAAAGAGGTCAGTCTTAAGTTTGACCTGAAAGGACCTGAGATGGATTCCTGTCTCCCAGTCACTTCTGGGTGAATTTGACCAAATACCCATTCCAAAATCATGAACTATTTGCATCTGTACTGGGAAGGTTTGTTACATCTGTTTGACCCCTAAGAGTGGGGACAGGGACACATACAGAGTCAGAGGTGGTGACAAGTAACTGTCTCCAAACACAGAGAAGATAATAACTGCAGTTGGAAGAAAGTTGGTGCATCTGCATAGAAAGTAACAGGAAAATTGCAAATAAAGATCCTGTCCCCTCCTTAGAGCCTCGATATTTTCTGCTAGTCAGTTGTTACTTCTATTGTTTGACAATTTAACTGATCTTCAGAGTATCAGCTTTTAGGAAATCGACATTTAGTGATGTAACCTGCTCTCTCTTTCCTTCCTTTCTCCCAGGCCACTGAATTTTAGGTCCTAATTCTGACACAGATGTTCCAGTGGCAGCCATGATTTGGCATAGTAAGAACTCATTCGGTGCGTGGAAGCTTCTTAGTCTGGCTGGGCTTGTGCAATTCATTTTCTCTCTCAAAACCAACTAAAGCCTCAGAAAACCTGAACTAATTAAGCTTGTGTTGGTGGAAAGAGGAATCACTGCAACATACCTCTTTTCACTGGGATGTATGTTGAGCAGGTGTCATGAGCTCCAGAAGCCTTGTCAGGAGAAGCGTGGCAGAGGACCTGGTTCTCAAGGCCCCAAGAGAGGGCAGGAGGTGCAGTCAGACTGGGGCTCCAGCAAGAGCTCCAAAGGTCTTATTGTGTCACAGTGGGTGAGCAGGTGGGCAGGTTCTGGAGGCAGAGAATATTCTCTCCCAGCTCCAAGTTGGAGACAAAGGCAGATTAGACCAGCTCTTACCCAGGGTGCTGCTGAGCCCTGAAGACAGTCA